TGCTTGGTGTACAGTATCAAAGGAAACTCTGGTTTTAATAAGAGTAATTATTCTCTCTCCTCTTTACCTAATTCTTATGCCTCAAACTCCAAGAACAAGAATTTCTCCTCCACCTGAGTGATTTTTCTCCCTTAGCATTTATGACCAACATATTGTCCTGAACAAAGGCAGTCACCACTCTCCATGGAAGAGCAACATTGTACAAACGACTGTACAACCTCAAACTCTGGGAAGCCATCTCCATAATGATTTAAAAAATAATGGTTTTCTTCCACCTTTACAGTGAAAACACTAGTTAATGTCAGTTTAAATGTATAGGGAAATGTAAACAATAATAAAAGGAGTGCTTGGTGTACAGTATCACATTCCTCATGACTAAAACACTCGGGGTCACTCCAGAGGAACTGGGCTATGTGAAATAACCACATAAGGGACAGAGAATCCGTTTCTTTGGGGTCTTGGGATGGCTCCTCTGAACTTATGTGTCCACAGAAAAAAGAGTGATCAAGCACCTGCTGAACCCTTTTATTGAGGAAGAAGCCATTCAAATGAGGCAAGGGGTCAGATTTTGGGGGGGTGAGTCTATCTTCAAGATGTCTGCTGTCAGCAGGTTGACTGACATCTAGGAAGGCACACCCAAACACAGAGCAGAGAAGGGGACACACACAAGGGCATTTCCATGGAACATTCTATTCCAAACAGGGCAAGGGGTAATATCACAAAGGAACAGGTGAGCATAGCTCAATCCATGGGGCTAATCACCTACATCTGAAGACACATTCTGCTACTTTGAGGATGGGGCAATATCCTATGAAAGTGACCAACAGAGCCTCTTCCAATCACAGGAAGGAGAATGCCAGTCATTCAGTGAGACTGTTCCCCACAGTACAGTAATTTGAAACATCAGGAACACTGAGCATTAGTGTTTTATTGCTTTGTAACAAAGAGGAGATTCAGCCATGTCAGCCAGGTTCTTATTAACAGAAGTTGTGAAGCAAGCCTCTTTTCTGCCTTGGTCAATTATCAGCCCCTTTTATAACCATCAACATTTTGGACACTACCACGCCCCCATGTATGTGGTTAACGTCACCTTCACTAGATGAAGCCAAAGGAAAGTCCCCATGTGGGATCCGTGTCCACACTCCATGCCAGCTACTTCTGTTCTGACCCACTTGTGGCCAGTTTAGTTTTACTTCCAGTATTGTCACCTTTCCTTTCCTCGCTGTACTTTCATCTTGGTTGCTTATTCTTTAACCATAGAATGGACCAAAGAGGAAATAAGGGTAGAAATCCAATGAGAGCAAATGAGAACAGAGGTACAACAAAGATAAATCTCAGGGCACTGTGAAAGCAGTTCTAAGAGAAACTGCTTTATTTATTTAAAAATAAAGAGATCTCATATAAATAAGCTTATACTGTACCTCAAGTCCTTAGAAAAAGAACAACATAATTCCAAAAACAGTAGAAGGTAGCAAATAACTAAGTTCAGAGCCAAAATTATGGAACCTGAAAAATAAAAAAAATAAAAACAATACAGAGCATCAATGGAAGGAGGAGTTGGTTCTTTGAAATGATAAACAGAATTGATAAACCCTTAGCTACGTAACCAAAAGAAAGAGAGAGGACTCAAATCAATCAAGTTGGAGATGAAAAACAATATATCACCGGAGACACTTCAGAAATCCAGAGGAACATTGGACACTATGTTGAAAATTTAGACTCCAAAAGAGTGGAAACTCTAGAAGACATTGACAAATACCTGGACACATGTGACCTGTCCAAACTAAACCCCTAAAACGTGGAAAACTGAAATAATCCAACATTAAGGAATGAAATTCAAACAGTAATGGAAAGCCTTCCAACAAAAGACCAGGACCACAGGAGTTCCCAGCTGATTTCTTCCACCCCTTTAACCAAGAAATAACACGAATGCTGCTACCAAAATCAGACAAAGACACATCAAGGAAAGATAACTTCATGCCAACAGCCTTGATGGACATGGATGCAAAAGATACTTAATGAAATATTATGAAACTGCATAAAACACGTCAAGGTGGTAATACACCCTGATCAAGTGGGTTTCAACCCAGGGGTGTGAGGTTGGCTCAACATACACAAGGGAATAAATGTTATCCCCCACCCCCTTAGGCAGAATTAAGGATAGAAATCACAGGACCATATCAATTCATAAATAAAAGACCTTTCATAAAATGCAGCTTCCCTTCATGTTACAATGCTGGAGAAGTGAGAATGGAGGAACTTCCCTCAGCATTATGAAGGATGTAAATGACAAAGCCACAGCTCACATTACACTTAATGGAGAAAAATTAAATGCACTTCATGTAATATTAAGTACAATATAGCTAGTTATTGAATCACCAGAGAGAGCTATCAGGCAAGAGATGGAAATAAGGGACACAAATAGGAAAGGAAGAAGTCATCTGATTATGAATGACATGATCCTATATCTAGAAGACCCAAAAAACTCCCTAGACACATTTATAGAGATAATAAATCAATTCAACAAAGGAGCAGGACACAAGAGCCACACCCATAAATCAATTGCTTTCCAATACACCAATAATGATTTCAACCAATGAACAAATCAGAAAAACCACCCATTCAGAAATCTCAAAATAAAAAAAGTCATAGGAACTAATCTAACCAATGAGGTTAAAGAGATCTACATTGAAAATTATAGATCACAGAAAAAGGAAATGATTGAAAATGGAAAGACATCCCCTGTTCTCCTATAGGCATAATTAGTATCTCAAAATGGCCTTACTACCAAAAGTAATATACAGATTCAATGCAATAATCATGAAAATGACAATAACATTCGTTACCAAATTAGAAAAAAACAATTCTTTCATTCATTTGTAAGAATAAGAGACCCAGAATAGCCAAAGCCATACTGAGCAAGAAAAATGATTCAGGGGGCATCAGAGTACCTGACCTGGAATTATACTATAGAGCTATAGTAACAAAAACAAATAGTCATGAGGACCAGTGTAAAATCCTAGAAGACACAGAGACAAACCACATACTCACAGCTATCTGATATTTGACAAAAGTGCTAAAGAGACACTTTGTAAGAAAGCCTCTTTACCAAATGTTGCTGGGAAAACTGGGTGCTAGATATATGTAGAAAAGTGGAAAAAGATCCACATCTCTAACCTGCACAAAAGTCAGATCAAAATGGACCAAAGACTTAGGAATTAATTCTGAAACCTTGCAAATGCTAAAGTAAACTAGGGCCAACAGTCCCTCATGTAGGTTCTGGTGACAGCTTCTTTATGAAACCCCCAAAGTGCAAGAAAGAAAACCAAGAATCAGTAAGGGGGATGCTGTCAGTTAACATCTGGTGCACAGCAAGGAAATGATGAAGAGAGGATCATTCCAGTCACTCCCCCAACATTAGTATTCAGAATACACACAGAGCTCCAGTACATTCAACCTAAGTCATAATAATAACAAGAATCCACAAAACCAATGAGACAAAACCCCGAACAGAAACATCTCAAAAGAAGAAACACAAATGGCCAATATGTATATGAAAAAAATCTCAACCTTCCTTGTCCTCAGGGAAATGCAAATCAACACTACAACACAGCTTCATCTCACTCCAGTCAGACGGCAAATGCCAGGATTACAGATCATAAATGTTGGCGATGATGACTGGAAAATGCACACTCATCCATTGTTGGTGGGACTGCAAATGAAGGAAGGCAGAGTGGAGAGTCATCAAATAACTAGGAATGGAACCACCACATCCCCCTGCCATCCCACTCCTTGGTGTTTTTCCAAAAGATCTAAAATTAGCATCCTACAGGGATGCAGCCAGCTAATGGTTTATAGAAACAATTCACAATAGCTAAATTATGGAGTCAACCAGGTGCCTGTCAGTAGATAAATGGGTTAAGAAACTGTTATTTTTAACTGTGCTCCCTGGTTTCTACTTCAGAATTTTGAAGGAAATTGCTTCTCACTCCAACACTGTCACTTCCTGTTCTCCTCAGCCACAAAGAAGAATGACATCATGGCACTTGACAGTAAGTTGATGGACATGAGAACATCATGCTAAGTAAAGAAGTCACACTCAGAAAGTCAAAAGCCAAAAGTTTTCTCTGACCTCTGCACACTAGAGTGTAATAAGGGAAAGAAGGAGAGAAGGACAGGATACCGCACAGATGTGGGAAAGGTCAGTAGAACAGAAGGAGAGCAAGAGTCAAAGAGGAGGGATGGAAAAGGGAGCAAATGCAGAAGGAATTCTTCTAAAATTATGTTAAGTGTAATATAAATACACCACATTTAAATATAAATTGAAAGAAACAATAAAAATAAATGAAGACACGAGCAAAAGGAAGTCTAGTAGAAATTAGGAAGGAGGAGGGTGTGGGGTGAGCAGGGGAGAGGAAAAGGGAGATCCAGAATTGATCCCTAATTCCATGCACGTATGTTTTCGTCAGGATGCACTCAACTATTACGGGGAACTATGATCCTTTACAGAAAAAATGCTTTGCAGTGATTGGCCATGGCAGGAGGTGACCAGTCCCTCCCCACCACTGAGCAGACCTCAGGAGCCCTCCTCCCTCCAGCTGAGTAGCTCTGTGTGTAGCTGCTACAGAGTGAGGCCACCAGCCAGCCACACCAGGGTCTCAGGGTCAGGAGTCTGGGGCACATCCTGCCTGTCCTGCGACTCCCAAATAGATTGTCACTAAGACATGAGTGGCCTAGGGACTAGCGGAGGCCCAGGGGAAGGAAGCTTCGTTCCTGGGAGGTGTGTTCCAATTCCTTCTGAAAATGCAGCATGAGAGACCCTTACCCTTTGAGGTCTGTGCTTCTGGTTACTACTTTATAATTTTCTCAGAAACTGTCACTCTGTCACAATCACTTCCTCTTGAAACAAAGTAGGCAGAGAGTCAGTTCCCTCCAGAGAGCAGAGTCAGGGATCTCCCAGCACAGACCCTGGGACAGAGCAGGCTCCTCAGCGCTCCACCATGTCTGCACCTGCCTCCTGGCCCCAGTGTCCCAGTCCTGTCCTGCTGCTGACCCTCCTGCTGGGACTCACAGGTGAGTGAGCTCTGTCTGGGGAGAGTCCTCTGTCCTGGCCCCTAGGTCAGCTCTTCCCTGGACTCCCAGGGACTCAGGACAAACCCAGGCTCTGCCATGGAGGCTGGGACAGGGCATTCTCTGGAGCCCAGACCAAGGGTCCTGAGCAGTGTCTCTGGGAGGCCTCCCCTGCATCTGGGGCCAGAGGCATCACGTCAGCTGATGCTTCAAACAGCAGTGACAAGAATCACCTGAATATTATATCAGTTCACAAAATACATTTCTAGAAGATCAATGTTTATATCCTGATAATTTCTGAGATACCAAAGGTGAGGTGATACCCTCAAGGCCATGGAGCAAGTGATCTCTCTGTCTGTGTCTCTCTCATAGTCTGGCCAAGAGGTACATGGCTCTGTCCCATCATACCTTCCCCTCCATTGATTTGCTGCCTCCCACAGGCCCAATAGCCATGGGGACAATCAATGCTGGACTGAAACCTCTAAAACTGTGAGCTGTCATCCTGATTTTCTCTTCATAAGTGGATTTGTCTCAGGTATTACTTACAGTAATGAAGAGTTGACTGACACAGGCTGTGACGATGTCCTTACCCTTATCTACATCATAGGGGGCCAGTGGAAGTCCCTTAGCCTCAGGAAATTTACTGAGTAACAACTCAATTTCTTGAACTCTCACTATGGGCCAGACTCTCTTCTGATGTGATATAGTTAATTATGTGACCATGACACCCACAGCAAACATTCTGGTCACCCACCTTGCAGCTAAGAAGGACCAGGAGCTCCGTGGTCATTCAGGGGCAGTGCGAGGGCTGGGGTCTGGGTGCAGATGCTCTGATCTGGAGCTCGTGGTTCACCCACCATCTTCTCAAACTCTGTGGCCCTGACCCTACATGTGGCCAGACATTGTTTTAATGGTGTGTAGCACGACATCATGGGGTCAGACGTCTGCTTCCAAAGACCTGGGGTATCTCATGCTCATCATGGTGGTGTAGAGATCCCAAGAGGATTTGGATCTTGTTTCTTTTCTTTCTTTTTTTTTTAAAGGCAATAAGAAGGGTGCCTGGTTTAAATTTGTATATGAAATTAGTAAACGATGTATATGTGGACTGATTTACACAGTTTGTACTGCTTCTGCCAATAGGTATATAGATGGTGGACGAGAAGGGTTTGTGGTTTTCTTCTCCTGGGCTCTTCTACTTCCTGCCTATATCTGGCAAACAGTTCTTGTTTTGCTAAGTATTCTGTGTGGTAAACTCAACTTGTGGCCATTTCTACAAAATGTATCCACTTCTGCAATGCAGGGAGGGTTGCACTGAGCACTTCACACACTAACTACAGACTTATTGTACACCTACTGTGTGCAGGAACTGTTACAGAATCTTGCAGTGTATTGTGCATAAAAGAGGCAAAGGATTTGCCCTGTGTAGCTAGGGTACCTCTAGGGACAAGGATGGTGAGCAACACACAAGAAAGAGGTAAATCATATCACATATTGAACAGTGATCAGTACGACTTAAAAACAATCACCGGGATAAGAACATCAGAGAACGAGTGGGAGAGGAACTGCAAATATGGTCATCTGGGCGGGCATCACTGAGAAAGGGAATTTGAGCAGAGATTAAGAGGAGGGACAGGAGTGGCCCTGAGGTTTTCTGGCAGAAGGGCTTCCTGATAGAGAAACCCCATGTCCCTGCTGTGTTCAAGGGACTTCCTCTCACTGTGATTGAAATGGGAGCCACCTCCAGGTGTGGAGCAGAGAGGTGAATAGCCCTGAGCTCAGGAGGCTGCCTGGGATGTGGCCAGGTGTGTTGTCCTTGGTTCCCATGCTTTAGAGGGAGGCTCTGGTTAGGGGTGGAGGCAGCCACATCCCACTGAGCTCCAGGGTGTATGACGGGTGGCTGGGCCATTCCTACAGTCCACGGGTTTCCATTACACCACTTGGTTAATTCTTAGGGCTCCAGCTAGCCAAGGGGCCTGGTGGGAGGTGACCCCTCTGATACCCAGGCTTTGTGTAAGGGTCTAAGCCTAGAGAAGTCACCCATCCTGCCAGTGGGAAAGGCCAGATGGTCTAGGTTTTCTTTATCTTCTCCTGATGATGCTTTCGTAGCTGTGGGAGCAGTTAAGGTGATCAGTGTTCATGGAGCATCTATGTCCTAGAGAGAAAAGGGGTCCCCAGAAAAATGGTGTTTTCATGATATGTAGACAAGTCTGTGAGGGGAAGAATTTCCAAAAGCCATGGGGCAGTTTATGATCCTGGGGAGTAGTCCAGGGACTCCAAGGGGAATTTCTGTCTGCTGCTTACATGGAATAACGGGGGCATATTTTGGTCCTTTAAAACATTTTTTAAATTTTTTTCTTTTTAGTTATACATTACAGTAGTATTTATTTTGACATATTATACATACATGGAGTATGACTTCCCATTCTTGTGGTTGTGCATGCTGTGGGGTTATACTGGTTGTGCAATAATATATGAATATAGGAAATTCATGTCTGATTCATTCTGATTTTCCTATCCCTATCCTCACTCTTTTCCTTTTATTTCTCTTTGTCAAATCCAGTGAACTTCTATTCTTTCTTCCTCACTCTCCTTTGTTGTATGGTAGCCTCTGCATATCAGAGACAACATTTGGACTTTGATTTTTTTCCAGATTGGCTTATTTCACTTAGCATGAGAGCTCCATCCATTTACTGCCAAATGCCATAATTTCATTCTTGTTTATGACTGAGTAATATTCTATTGTGTATATACACCATATTTTCTTTATCCACTTATTTGTTTAAGGGCACCTAGGTTGGTTCCATAGCTTAACTATTGTGAATTGAGCTGTTTTAAACATTTCTGTGGCCGCGTCACTGTAGTTGCTGATTAAATATTCTTAGGGTATAAACAGTGAATTATGTTATCTGGATCAAATGGTGATTCCATTCCAAGTTTTCTGAGAAATCTTTATACTGCTTTCCATAGTGGTTGCACCAATTTGCAGTTCCACTATTAATCTTTTAGTGTACCTTTTTCCCCCCACATACTTGCCAAAATTTTACTGTTACCTGTATTATTGATAATTGCCATTCTGACCGGAGTGAGATGGAATCTCACTGTAGTACTAATTTACATTTCTCTAATTGATAGAGATGTTGAACATTTTTCATATACTTGTTGACTGATTATATTTCTTCTTCTATAAAGCAACTCTTCAGTTCCTTTCCCACTTATTGATTCGGTCATTTGTTTGTTTGTTTTGGTGTTAAGTTTTTTTTGAATTCTTTATATATCCTTGAGATTGATCCTGTGTCTGAGGTGCAGGTGGCAAAATTTTTTTCCCATTCTGTAGGATCTCTGTTCAACTTCCTGATGTTCCCCTTCCTGTGAAGAAGCGTTTCAGTTTGATATCATCCCACTTATTGATTCTTGATTTTACTTCTTGAACTTTAGGAGTCTTGTTGAGGTAGTGGATTCCTAAGCTGATATAATTTAGAATTGGGCCTATTTTTTCTTCTAGTTGGCACAAGGTCTCTGGGGTATTGCCTAGGCCCTTGATCTACTTTGAGTTGAGTTTGGGACAGGGTTAGAGACAGCAGTTTAATGTCATTTTGCTACATGCAGCTGTCCAGTTTTTCCAGTACCATTTGGGAAGAGGCTGTCTTTTCTCCAGCGTAGGTCTATGGTGCCTTGTCTAGTATGAGAGAACTGTGTGTGTGGGTGCATCTGTTTGTCTTCCAATCTGTAACATTGGTCTTCATGTCTGTTTTGGTGCTGAAACCATGATGTTTTTGTTCCTATAGCTCTGTAGTATAATTTAAGGTCTGATGTGATGTCTCCTGCTTCACTTTTCTAGCTGAGGATTATTTTTCTGTTCTGGGATTCTTATTTTTTCATATAAATTTCACAACTCCTTTTTCTATTTCTATGAAGAACACTATTGGAATTATAATATGTATTGCACTAATTAGGCACAGTGCTTTTGGTAGTATAGCCATCATGACAGTAGTAGCTCTGCCTGTCCAAGTACGTAGAGGGAATCTTTCCACATTCTAAGGTCTTATTCAATTTCTTTCTTTCGTATTTTGTACTTTTCATTATAGAATATTTTCATTGTAGATGTGTAATTTTTAGGATCTTCTACACATAGAATTATGTCAGTGGCAAAGAGAGATGGGTTGAGTTCTTCTTTTCCTGTCTGTCTCCCTTTAATTTCTTTCTTCTGTCTAATTGCTCTGGCCAGTGTTTCAAGGAAGGCGTTGAATAAAAGTGGTGAGAGGACATCCCTGTCTTGTTCCAGTTTATAGAGGGAATGCTGTCTGCTTTTCATTGTTTAGAATGGTATTGGTCTTGTGTTTTGCATATATAACTTTGAAAATGTTGAGGTATGTTCCCATTATCACTAGTTTTTTAGTGTTTTGAATATGAGTTGATCCTGAATTTTGCCAAATGCTTTCTCTGTATCAATTTATATAATAAAGTGGTTCATGTCTTTAGGTCTATTGACACGATGAATTATGTTTATTGATTTTCATATGTTGAACCAACCTTGCATTCCTGAGATGAACCTGACTTGATCACGGTACATTATCTTCTAATGTTTTTTTTTTATGTTATTTATCAGTATTTTATTAAGAATTTTTGTAGCTATGTTCATCAGGGATATTGATATGAAGTTTTCTTTCTTTGATGTGTCTTTGTCTAGTTTTGTTATCAGGGTGATACTAGCCTCATATAATGAGTTTGGAAGGATTCCCTCCTTTTCTGTTTCATGGAATAATTTGAGGTGCATTGGTGTTAGTGCTTGTTTGAAGATCTGTTCCAACTAGGCTGAGAATCCATCAGTGTGGGCTTTTCTCTGATGATCAGCTTTTGATGGCATTTTCAATTCCATTGCTTAAAATGATCTGTTTCACTTTTCTATGTCTTTCTGATTCACTTTGGGTAGATCATATGGGTCTCAAAATTTGTCAATGTCTTTAAGATTTTCTGTTTTATTAGAATATATATTTTCAAAACAGTTTCTGATTATCTTTTCCATTTCAGTAGTGTCCATGGTGATATTTCCGTTTTCATCACTAATTCTTATAACTTGAGTTTTCTCTCTCCTTCTCTTGGTTAACTTGGCTAAGCAGTTATAACACTTATCTCTTTTTTTCAAAGAATCAACCTTTTGTGTTTTAATGTGGAAAACTGTTTTTGTTTCAATTTTATTGATTTCAGCTTTTATTTTCATTATTTTTGCCTTGCACTGTGTTTGGTGTTGATTTTTTTATTGATTTTCTAGGGCTTCAGATGTAATATTAAGTTATGTATTTTGTGGCTTTCTATTCTTTTAATGAATGAGCTCAATGCAAGGAACTTTCCTCTTAGCACTGCCTTCACAGGGTCCCCTTGTTTTTGATATGTTGTATTACTATTCTCATTTACCTCTTAAGGGTTTTTAAAATTTCATCCTTATTTCTCCTACTATCCATTGGTCACTCAAAGTGTAATATTTTGTCCCCAGGTGTTAGAGTAGCTTCTTTTTTTAATCATTGATTTCTTATTTTATTCCATTCTCATTCATCAACTGTGAGGTATCAGATTGGGGGATATTCAGTGGTATATGATCCCCACAAAGCAGCACAATTCAGACAATACCTCACTTTGTAAGATGGCACCGAGCTACCCCAGCCTGGGCTCTGGGGCTGATGGGGAGATGATGTGAGATCCTTTTCCAGTGCAAATCTAGTGTGGGGACTCCAGGCTGCTCCCTAACTGTCCTCAACCTGTGTTGGCTGTGAACCTTTCCAGCAGCTGTGACGCTGACATAGCTTGGACCTTCCCTCATCATTGATCTGCAAAGGGGAGCCCCACCCCTCTGCCTGGGAAGGCAGCTGGGAAAATGCCACGGGGTTTTGTTCCTCTTTTTTTTACTATTTAATTTTTTTTTTGAGCATGGAGCACATATGAATTTTACAAAATAATGGGTTTCCCTGTGGCATATTCATACATGTGTATAACATAACATGATCACATTCACTCCTAATGCCCCTGATACTCTCTGCACCCTCTTTTCTCCCTCCCTGTCTCCCTCCCCCCTTTCTCTTTCATGAAGCCCTCTTTTCCTCCTGTCTATTTTCCACATATGGAAGAAAACATTACTTGTCTCTCTGAGTTTGGTCTATTTTGCTTGACATGATGTTCTCCAGATACATTCTTTTTCCTGAACATGGTGTAATTTCATTCTTTATGGCTGAATAAATTTCCATTGTGTAAATGTAGCACATTTTCTTTATCCTTTCATTATTTGAGAAACACTGAGGTGATTTTATGACTTGGTTATTGTGCGTTGTGCTGTGATAAACATGGGTGTCTAAGTCGTTTTTTATTCCTTGATCCCAAGACTAGACATGACTAATTGGAGGGAAATGATTAATTTGAGCTCACAATTTCAGAGGTCTCCTCCTATAGAGGCTCCATTCCTCAGGGACAGAGTCGAGGCACAACATTAGACCAGGAGTCTGTAGGAGAATAAGCAGGTCAGGACATGGCCACCAAGAAGCAGAGGGGGAGAGAGATAGAGCTCCCTACAAGGACCACATATGGACCCACAGGCATGCCTCCATGGACCCACCTCCTTGAGCCACAGCAGACCTGCTTGCAGTCACCCTCAGCTAATCCCTATGAGGGGACTAAGACTAAGACCCTGCCTAGGTGAAGGCTCTCATAAGCCAGTCATTTCAACCCTAAACTGATGTCTTGCATTGTCTCACATGAGCTGGTGAGGGACTCCTCATGTCTAAACCATGACAATCTGTAGGCTTGTGCCTCGACACTTCTCTATACTGATTTTAATTCTTTAAGATACATACCAAGCAGTATTAGATTTCCTCATACACTAGTTGTGTTTTTAGTTTCTGGAAGAACCTCCACACTGACTTCCACAGTGGGTGTACTAATTGACATTTTCACTAATGTTAGTGAGAGTTCCTTTTCCCACATCCTCACCACCATCTATATTTTAGATTCTTGGTGATGTCCATTCTTACAGGAGAGAGATGGAGTCACGATGTGGTGGGAACTGTGTGCAGGTGTGGACTGTCTGAAGGAAGTAGTTCCCTGGGGAATGTCCTCAAGGACTGTGTTTTGTCCCTGGATCTTCATGTCCACTTGCTCTTCCCACCACCACTGCCTTTCTCCTCCTCCTCCTCCTCCTCCTGTTCCTCTCCTCCTCCTCCTCTCCCACCCCCGTCTCCTTCACCTTCTTCCATGCATGGACTTGCACCCTGTCATGGACATCCTGCCTGGTTCCTGTTGACTGGCCTCTGCAGCTGTGAGTCCAAAGTGGCCTTTTCTCCATTAGCTGTTCTTATCAGGTATTTGATCACAATGACACAAACTTGACTATTGCATAGGGACAGGGGTCGTCATTCGGAGGAGCAATTGTGGACACAAGTATGTCTTGTGCAATCTTTATTTGTGACTATTTAAATTTTTTTGGTGGGGGAGGTGGTTTCTGGAGATTAAATTTAGGAGCACTCAATCCCTGAGCCACACCCCAGCCCTATTTTGTATTTTATTTAGAGACAGGGACTCACTGAGTTGCTTAGTGTCTCTCTTCTGCTGAAGCTGGCTTTGAACTAGGGATCCTCCTGCCTCAGCCTCCCAAGCCTCTGGGTGCCACTGTGCCTTGTGAGACTATTTAATTTAAAGGGAGAGACTCTTAGCCTGTCACCTCAAAATCCAAGCATATTGCCCAGGGTGATTTATAACCTCAAATTATATCTTTGGGCATCTGAAAGAAAGAGGGCTCAAACTATTCCTTCCCCTGTTCTCCTTGTACCAGGAGCCAYCCATCACCTTGGATGGCACCATGGACAGAGTGGGAGGTGGAGATTAGCAGCATCAAGGAAGCAGCAGAGAAGGGGCTGCCCGCAGAGCAGCATGGACATTTGGGGGAAGGTAACAGAGGACTGTCCTTGGGAGGGGGACCATGTGAAGTCAAGATTCAAGAGAACCAGTTACCTTTCTCATCAATGCCACTCACCAGGTGGTGGACACTATGGACAGGCACATCCAGCTGTTTTGTGGCCCTCTGCCATGTTGACTCTCACAGGAGCACTCAGCAATGGACCCTCAGCACCTCACAGAACTACACACCCTCCATCAGGGGTCCTTCCTCCAATCACATTCCCACACAGTGCACTGGTAAAGAGCCAATTCACAGGGTCTGGTGTTCCAGATTCCAATGGTAGGATGATTCTGCAGCCTGGGTCAAGGCTAGGAGCTGGTATCTCAGTGGGTATTCTTGTGGTTGGGATGGGAGCAGTACTCTAAGGTGGAGAGCATTTTCCTCTCTCTGGAAAAGCGTCAGAGAGCTGCACAACCCAGGGCACAGGACAGCCAGCAGGCCAGAGGGCTGTGCGACATGGTGGAGCCATTGGGGTCAGCCAAGGAGAGTACAATGTGGTTGTGCTGTGGGGACATATGCGATAGGATTCAGCAATGTTTTCTTTCATACTTGAGCTGCGCGTTCATGGTTGTATGTCCTATCATCACTCCAGGCTGAAGGAGGAAACTGAAACAAGAGCTGGCATCTCTGTGGAACAGGGAGCTGAGCCAAGACTCACAGTCAAATGCATGTCCCACTAACTGTACCCACCACTTCCCCAATACTCAGGAGACTCAAGAGCCACATGACCCAAACCAATGTCTTGGTCCATGAAGTGCCAGTGACCCTGTGGTCAGAAAAAGGGTAACAAATAGTTGGTGACACATGAGAGCTCATCAAAATGGTGATATTACCAAAAGTTCTCTATAGGTTTAATGCAATGCCAATCAAAATCCCAACAGCATTTCTTGTAGAAATAGATAAAACAATCATGAAATTCATGTAGAAAAATAAAAGACCCAGAATAGCAAAAGCAACTCTAAGCAGGAAGTGTGAATCAGGCGGCATAGCAATACCAGATTTCAAACTATACTAAAGAGCAATAGTAACAAAACCAGCATGGTACTGGTACCAAAATAGGTGGGTGGGCCAATGGTACAGAATAGAGGACACAGAGACTAATCCACAAAGTTACAACTATCTTATATTTGATAAAGGGGCTAAAAGCATGCAATGGAGGAAGGATAGCATCTTCAACAAATGGTGCTGGGAAAACTGGAAATCCATATGCAACAAAATGAAACTGAATCCCCTTCTCTCGCCCCATGTACAAAAGTTAACACAAAATGGATCAAGGAGCTTGATATCAAATCAGAGACTCTGCGTCTGATAGAAGAAAAAGTTGGCTCCGATCTAAATATTGTGTGGTTGGGCTCCAAATTCCTTAATAGGACACCCATAGCACAAGAGTTAATAACAAGAATCAACACAGAACTAGAAAGAAATGTGAGCAACATGAAAAGACAAGGAAAGAAAGGACCACAAACAATGCAAGACAATACAACATTAGAAGAGGTTCTTTTTAAGATTTCTTTTTTTTTTTTTTTCTGAATTGCAGACTCAGCAATGTCAATGGATCCTGCTCCAGATTTTGTGGTCTTTTCTACTGCCTGTTCAAATCTCCAGTGAACTTCTGAGTTAATTGAGCTTATCAACTCCCAAATTTCTGTTTTATTTTTTTAATATATTCTCTTTCTTTGTTGATGTTCTCAATTTGCTGATCATATTCTAGATTTTCTTTTCTACTTTTCCATATATCCTGGAGCATGTTGGAGACAGCTGCTTCACAGTGCTGGTCTCTTTTCAGGTGAGGCCCAATAGGTCACTAGGGTCCTGAGGAGGAGGATACAGGAGGGTAAGAGCTAGGGAAGGACATGGGATTGGGAGGAAAGAGGGAGGAGGAACAGGAGGATGGGAAACAAGGGGTAGGAGCTCAGGCTGCTCCCTGGGTGTGGAGAGCAGGGAACAGCTTCCTAAGGAAACAGCTCTCACGAGGAGCCCTGGGTGGAGGCCCAGTGACAGCGAATTTTGTCTTCTGATGATAAGGACCATAACATGATAGATTTCTGTTGCTGTAGGCACTAGGTGTGCAGTCCTTTGTCACAGCAGCATTAGAAACTTACACGGTGTGGTTGTGCTGTGGGGAGATATGCGAGGGGCTTCAGCAATCTTTCATTTCTTACTTGAGCTGCACTTTCATTGCTGTATGCACCATGATCACTCCAGGCTGAARGAGGGAACCCCATCATGAGCTGGAATCTCTGTGGGACATGGAACCTGAGCAGAGACTCTCAGTCAAATGCATTTCTCACTAGTTGTATTCACACTTCCCCAAAACTCAGGAAACTGAGAGGCAGAGGAGCTCAACCAATGTCATGGTCCATGAAGTGCCAGGGAGCTTGTGATCAGAAAGGGAAGAGCAACAAAGAGTTGGTGACACATGAGAGCGCAGGGGAGGGCTCAGGCCCTCAAGTCCCCTCCCTCCACCTTGCTCAGGGCTCTGGGCCTCAGGGGCAGGTGTCTCACAGTGTGGAGGTGCAGGCCAGGGGAGGCTCAGTGTGAGGACAGCCCTGTGCTGAGCTCAAGGCCACTCTGTGGGCACTCAGTGAGTGACAGGCTTTGCTGATACCACGTGATAAACCAAGAGGATCCCCAGGATGATCAGAGACCACCCTGTGTCCCCCCCAGGAGCGGCTGCACAGGAGCTGCAGGTGATCCAGCCTGAGAAGCCAGTGTCTGTCGCTGCTGGAGAGTCAGCCACTCTGCACTGCACTGTGACCTCCCTGCTCCCCATGGGGCCCATCCAGTGGTTTAAGGGGGCAGGGCCAGGCCGGGAGTTGATCTACAACTTCAAACAAGGCCACTTCCCCCGAGTCACAAATCTCTCAGATTACACAAGGAGGGACAACAAGGACTTTTCCATCCGCATCAGTAATGTCACCCCAGCAGACTCTGGCACCTACTACTGTGTGAAGTTCCAGAGATCGACCCCTGTTGATAAGGAGTATAAGTCTGGACCAGGCACCGAGTTGTCTGTGCGAGGTGAGTGCAGCTGCCTCCTCCTCCCTGGGGTGGGACAGGAGGTCAGGGGTCACGCCCTCCACCCTGGGGGCCACAGCTGAGAAGCAGGAGCAGCACTGGGTGCTCATGTCATGACCTGCDGTCACCCCTTCTGCAGGTCAGGGAGGCAGAGGCCTGTGGAGGCTGTGCTATTTGGTCCAGGCTCCATGGCTGGTAAATGGGGGGCATCTGCACCCCTCACCTGCCTGCTCCACAGCCCTGACCTTTTCCAGTCTGGCCTGCCCTGTGGCTCCCCAGCTGAGGGCTCTGAGGGTTTGAGGGACTTGCCAGTCACAGAGCCAGACTGTGTCTGCTGGCTCAGAGAGCATTGCCCCTGTGGGGGTGAGCCTTCTCTTTATACCACAAGCACCCAGGACCCACTGCCTGCCAATCTGCACTCTGGATGCTCTGGAAAGTACCGAGGGCAGTGCAGGTAAAGTTCTTCTCCCACCAGGCTAGTGTTCCAGTTCCTCCCTGGGGACCAGGCCCTCCAGAGCAGGGAGGGGGCAGGGCATGCTTTTCTTCCTTCCTCTCCTGGAATAGCACCTGAGAGGGTTCTGACAGGCTCAGGTTCCCTGTAGACCTGGGGCCGTATTGGAGGAGCTGCCAAGAGATGAGGACTTCGCTCTGGATCTGCCTGTAAATCTCTGTATCTCAGGGACTAGCCCTCACAGGCCCTGCAGGATAGAAGCAGAGCTGTGTCAGTCACCAGCAATATTCCCCATGTTGGTGACACAGGGGTCCCAGTTCAGGAAGCACAGGTCCTCCCTTGTGTGGTTCCTGCAAGAGGCCCTGCATGCTCTCCCTAAGCCATGAGGCTGAGGTGGTCAGCACACATGGACCTTCACACCTGTGCCTACCCCTGTTGACCCTGGGGAGCTGGAGGCCCAGCAGGCCTCTCTCACACAGCACATTAATGCCAGGAGGGGACAGAGCCCAACCTGACTCCAGCCCAGGCTCCTGCTGCCCTGAGCATAGACACTGTCCCCACAGAGGAGCCAGGGCACAGGAGGGGCTCAACACAGACCCTGACCTGACCCACTGGGCAGAGAGCAGTGTCTCTGCTCCTCCTCCTTCTCCCATTGTTCAGGAATCCACTCACATTCACACCCTGAAGCCACAGTGAGTGGGGAACCTCTCCTGAGTGTCAGCCACGTCTCTCTCCATGGGGAGATGCCCAGCAGGACACACAGAGATGCTGTGTTGATTGAACAAGAGCAAAAGCCTTCTTCCTGGGGAGATGTTACAGTTGTTCTTGCTGTTGTGGGTGGGGTCGGGGGCTCCCCACTGGCTGTGCATAGGAATCACATGGGAAACTGAAGCCACAAACTCCCAGACCCAGGCTTCACCTATGAATGTTGCTTTAAAAGGTCTGAGGAGGGTCTGGGCTTCTGAAGTTTTCACTTACTCCAGAAGTTTCTGACACGTGGCCAGGGCTGTGGACTCCTGAGGTAGATGTCCTGAAGACAGGGAAGGAAAGCTGGGGTTCTTTCCTCTGGCAATGAAGGAGAGCACGGGAGCCTTCTCAGGTGTGGATGCTGCTGAACAGCAAGTGCTGGGCTCAGCTCCCTGGGCCTGTGGCAGGGTCTCCCGATGGAGCCTCCTAGATCCAGGGTCACCCCAGAGTCCACATCTGACACACGTGCCTCTGAACTGGAGCTGAAACCAAGGAGCCCTGGGTCTTCAGTACACAGTGCTCCCTGCCTTGATGACCCAGAATGTCACTCAGGCATCTGTCCCTTGTCCCTTCACAGCCCCTCTTTATGGAAACAGCTTCTTTGGATGAAACCCCTGTGATGCTGTTCATGATGAGAGAAGCACTTTGCCACCTTGTTTCCTGTGGGGACTCTTAAGAACACAGGGAGAGGGCAGGGGTGCAGCTCAGTGGTGGTTCCTGCTGAGCACCCTGAGGCCCTGGGTAGACTCTCAGTCCCTGGTGGTGGGCAGGGAAACAGGTGGAGCCTCGTCATCCTGTGGTGTCTGCTCCTCCTCTCACACAGGTCATCCTGGGGGCTGCAGAAACAGGATGTAGACTTTTCCTGGGGTCCCCACTGCATTTGTTGCTCCTTCTGTCCACTGAATGTGTGGTTTCCATCACTCCAGAAAGAGTGATGATACAGACACAGGTGTCATATATTAGGCTCCTACTGCATGCCAGAGCTGTGCCTTGCCTTTAAGCTCCTCTTGCAGGGTGGTGCTTTTAAGAACTGTCACCCCAGCAGACACTGGCACCTACTACTGTGTGAAATTCCAAAAATCGAGCATTCATAAGGAGTATAAGTCTGGACCAGACACTGAGTTCTGCCGAAGGGGATACGGAACCTCAGCAGAAAAGAAAAAGGTGTTGCATTATCCTCTGTGTGGATGAGAGCAGTCTGATCTCTTCCCTCTCCCCCAGCCTGGTGCCCTTGGCTGGCCATGCCCCTCTCTAAGCCTTGTCCCATAATGGGCTCTCACTAGCACCTCCTCACAGGACAGGTGGTTATCAAGATATGAAGGACTCTGAGGGCTCAGGCCAGCCTTAAAATGCTGAGCAGCTCCTGATAAGTGCCCACAGAGTCCCTAACCCCTGTAGGGCCTTCCAGGCTGTTGGGGTCTGGGTGACTCCACTTCTTCAGTGACACCCTGCACATTGTGCCCTCTGGGATGGGTGCATGTCAAGCACGGAGATCAGTATTTGCTGATAGAAACCTTCATGATATTTGCTGCCTGGTGACAGTTGTAGAAGGTGCTGGGTGGTGGTGAGCAATCTGGAGACACCAAGGGACSTGTCTGAGGACCCGTCCACAGGCAAGCAGCCTCCTGATGCTCTCCCCTGAGKGCCCTCAGGACCTGCTCAGGGGCCTGGGTCTGCATCTCTTGTAATTAGCCATCAGTTAYGAACTCATCCCTGTTCAGTGACCTGTGACTCCAATGCCAAGTGACCCAGGGAAGCCCMCATTCAGAAAGCACCCCTTCATCCTCTCCTTCTTGAATCCAGGTCTTGGCCCAGGTGAGGCCCATGGCATGTTGGTGGAAGGAGGAACAAGTGGGCTGAGTTGATGAGCCCTACACAGAACAATGTCTTGGAGAAGGAGGGACCTGGGCTTTTATTTTTTTGTTTTGTTTTGTTTTTGCTTTGAAAAGGATTGAAACCAGGGGTACTTTAAGACTGAGCTACTTCCTCAGCACTTTTTATTATTTATTTTGAGGAAGGTTCTCTCTAGGTTTCCCAGTCTGATCTTAAATTGCAGTCCCCGTGCCTCAGCCTCCCCAGTCTCTGGGCAACACGCCTGATCATTTGCTGAGATTCCAGGGGCAGCTCTGTGTGATCAAAGCCACCTGTGTTCAGTGTGGCCTGGGAGGAGATTTGCCAACCACCCCACTCCACAGATGAGGTGCTGGGCCAGGTCTCAGCATGGAGAGCTGGCATCTATGTTCATGTTGGTGTCTTGATACTTTCTGTCCCCTGCATTTGTTTCTAAATAAGGCTACCCTTGGTGTCAAGCATCAGGCAGGCCAGCAGGAAAAGGTTACTAACAAAGATTGAGACAGGGCTGTGATGTCCTCCCTGGGCCCAGGTTGGTAGTGATGTCCTGGTGCTGAGAGGAAGGCTCTGACCTCAGGCTGGAGCAGCACCTGGGCTGATGATCCTCACTGCCCAGGGACTTGAGGGTAGGGACACCACACAGGGATCAGCTCAGCACCCAGAGTGCTTTATTAGGAGCATTAAAAAATCATGTCTTGACATTTTGGGTGTAGCCCAGTGACAGAGCATGTGCTCAGCATGCACTTGGGGCCCATTCCTAGCACAGCAACTAATAAAAAATAACACCAACATTAATGTCGGGGACGATTCTAAACAGTGTCACTTGCAGTGGTCAGAAGGGGTCTCCCAATCACCTCACTTGTCTGTCAATCCCCTTCACAGCCAGACCTTCTACCCCCATGGTGTCAGGTCCAGCGACCAGGGCCACACCTGGGCAGATGGTGAGCTTCACCTGCCAGTCCCACGGCTTCTCCCCCCAGAACATCACCCTCAAGTGGTTCAAAAATGGGAATGAGCTCTCGCACACCCAGACCAGTGTGCACCCCATGGGAGAAAGTGTGTCCTACATTGTGTCAAGCACAGCCCAAGTGACCCTGGCCCCTGGAGACATCCACTCTAAGGTCATCTGTGAGGTGGCCCATGTCACCCTACAGGGGAGCCCTCCTCTTCGTGGGACTGCCAAGTTGTCTGACACCATCCAAGGTACAGGACCCTGATCCCCACCTCAGCCCACACTCCTCACCCAGCCTGCTGCTCCCCAGGGGCCTTGGTCTAGGACCTCAGTGGCTTAGGCTCTAGTTCCCAGCAGTGTTGCCACCTGACAGCACATGTGGACTCCTGACCTGTGGCCAGCATGTGCTGGTGGCTTCATTTCATTGAACATCAGCAACTAACACTGCTGAGCTCCTCCCAGAGCCGAGCCTTGACATGCAGGGAGGTTCCATCTATTTGCTCACTTCCTGCAGGCCAGGAGTTGGGCTTGTCAGCCTCACTCACTTACCCTAAGGGGAGCTGCTGGTCACTTGGCACCTGTGGGTGGCAGGCCCTGTGGTTAGTGATTCACTCCTGTGCAAACCCTCAGTGTCTGAGCCCCTCTGCATGCCTCTCCCTGTCCCGAGGGAGGCCCTTGCCCTGCTGGGAGGAGCTCAGCTGTCTGTCCCATAAGGTCACAGCTTCTCCCTGTGCTGTTTCAGTTCCGCCCACCGTGGAGGTCACCCCACAGCCCACCATGGCAGGGAACCAGGTGAATGTCACTTGCCAGGTGAAGCACTTCTACCCCCGGAGCCTACAGCTGACCTGGGTGGAGAATGAAAATGTGTCCAGGACAGAAATAGGCTCGACCCAGTCAGAGAACAAGGACGGGACCTTCAACCTGACGAGCTGGCTGCTGGTCAACTCCTCTGTGCACAGGGAGGATGAGATGTTCACCTGCCAGGTGGAGCATGACGGTCAACCAGCCACTGTGAGAAATTGCACCCTGCAGGTCTCTGCTGGCCCCAGGGAGAAAGGCCTGGACAACAGCAATGGTGAGTCCTCCACCCCAGCTGACTGGATGCTTTTATAATTCACCTTGACTCTGTGTGTTGTGATGTGAGAGCAGTGACCCCCCTTCCCACAGGGCACCCAGAGCCTGGGAACACAGCAGCGTCTTAGTCAGCTCCCCACACCACACTCTGAGGGTCTCCTCTGTGGGGTTGGGCACACATCTCATGGGGCCTTCAAACAGGGACACTAAGGAGGAAGGGGGAATGGGGGATGGGTCTGTCCTGGCCGCCGCCACTTGCCTTCTTCACCTGACACTTGTCACGTCGTCATGGCCCTCTCTCTGTGTCTCTCTTTCCACCCACATTGAGGGTCCCCCCAAAACACACAGTGACGAAACTAGGTAACTATCACCTGCTGGGGAAAGAAGTTCTACCTCCTGAGCTTCAAGTGACCTGACTGGAGAATGGACACATGTCCAAGATGGAAGCTGCCTCAGTCGTCACAGAGAACAAGGACGTGACCTGTAACCACATTAGTGGGCTCCTGGTGAACTCCTGTGTGCAGAGTGGGGACGTGGTGGTCACCTACAAGGTGGTACGCAGCCAGCCACCTCCTGAAGGCTAATTCTGTTAACTCCCCCCAAAAGGAGCAGGTTACAGACACCTCCCTGACGAGGGTCAGTCTAATCTGAGCAGCTCAGAAGGCTGAGGCAAGAGGAAGGCGAATTCCAGGTCAGCACCTGCAACTTAGTGAGGCCATGAGCAACCCCTGGAGGCCCTGTCTCTAAAGAAATATTACAAAGGGCTGGGGAGGTGGTTGTGTGGATCAGCACCTCTGGGCTCAACCTCCAGAACCAAAATGAAAAACATATCTCCCTGGGGGGGGTCTCCACTCGAGGTGACTGCTTTTTTTCTATCTTGTATCTTTTTGTTTTATTTTTTAGTGCTAAATTTAGTATTCCTATCCATTACAGAATAATTCACAAGTCTATAAATATGTATCATTCACCTGCATCCCCCACTCCTTACCTCTAGAGTCTCCACTGCAGGAGCTTGGTCCATCTCTCCATGGATCTTCTGACATAAACAGACATTAAAGAAGAAAGGGAGGGAGGGGGACTGTGCTGTCCTACTGTCCCGCCTTTTGTCTATCCACCTATCAGTTGCGTTGTTCTTTTTCCTCAGAGTCTCTCCAGCCTTCATTCAACATTGGAATTTTCCTACACATCTGTAGCCTCAGTCTACAAATGCTGGTACCTACCAGGTGAAATCTGGAAAGGACTCCCTGAGGAGGTGGAGACTGTTTGGACCAGGCCCCTAGGTGACCTTGAGTGGTCTCCACAGGGGTCTTGATTTCCTCCTGATTTATGATAATAGACCAACTGTAATGACGACCCTCAAAACCTCATCACAACATGAAAATTTCTGCTTGTGTATATTCTCCTTTGATGCTCCAACTACCTGTGTGTTAGGAATTTACAGAAAGGGAAACTGGGACAGCCCTGGAGAGCAATTGGAGCGTTGCTGATGGCTTCTTGCCCTGACACCTGAAAACTATCTAACCTACTCTAGGCAAATCTAAGTCACTGGGGCCAGGGCCAACACCAGCTATAGAGAACATGTTTACTAATTAACAAAATATGTTCCCTCTCCCATGAATATTGTCCCAAAGACCCACAGTGGTCTGGAGACCCCATTCTGTAGCCCAATGTGCATGATTTCCCTGTCCAACCACAGGAGCAGGTCTGGTGTCTCTGAAAGTGTCTTTCAAGGTCCAGGTTCCTTCCAGCATGCCCTACTATGGGCCTCATGTGCTGGGTCAACACTGGGCCACTGATTTATCCCTGTCCCTTCTTGTAGGAAGAGTAATGATTGGAAGTGAAAGACAATTTCCTTAATGGTAGGAGATACATGGAGGCTGCCTCATCCCATCCACAGTGCCAGTGGAGTCCACAGCTGGAATGGTCAAATGGTGAAGGACATTCTTCTACAAATCCAACAGCTTTGTCCCAGTTAATAGAAATAATGATAACTTCTCTAATTGTTAAAAATAATTGGAGTATGTATTTAAATTTTTCAAAAATTGTTTTGTAGGTCTTTACACCAAAATTGGTTTTAATTCATTTTTAAGTGCATGGTACAATCTCCTTAGGAAACCACCAGGGCATCAGGAAGCCTCTTTCTGAATTTTAAAAAATGATGCAATTCCTTAGAAGTTTAGGACCATTTACATGCTAGATTTCATTTTGAGTGTATTGGGGTAGGTTGAGCTTTTTGAAGCAGTTTTAGTCTATTTTATGTATTGTATCAACTTCATAACTGCAGATTTGCACCTAATATGTCCTTAATTATCAGTCTAATGTTTGCAGAATCTCTCCTAATACACCCTTCATTCTGTTCAATCTTGATGTTACCAGTGTGTCCTTTCTCTCTCTCTCTCATCATCATCATCATTATCATCATCATCATTATCATCAGTGCAAGATAATTTTCAATTTTATTGATCTTTTAAAAGGATCAACTTTGTGTTTCAATTATCTTCTCTATTACTTCCCTATATTCCATTTTATTGAATTATGACTCTTTTCTCTTCTTTATTATTTCCCTTATTCTTCTTGCTTGGGGTTCATATGGATCTTATTTTATTGCTTTTGTGGGAGGAGGCTTCATTTATTGATCTGACACTCTCCTGGTTTCCTCTGACACACCTGGACCCAAGCATGAAAAATTCATCCTGAGGGCCAGCTCATGGGAAGTGTGCCCTGGCGCATCCCAGATCCTCTCTGTAACATCAGACCACAGCACTTCTTCTTTCTGGGATGAAGTGAGGATTACATGACGTAGGAGAGTCATTTTTGTGGGGATGCAACATGGAAGATGGCACTGGATGTCTTTGGAGCAGAGTTAATTGGCAGCCATCCTGCTGAGACTGTGATCAGCAACCCAGACGTCCACTGAAGGTCTTGGAGGGCTTTGATCCATATGGCCCTAACCTTCATTTCCAGCTTCTACAACTTCCCAATCAGGAAGAGCCCTTGAATCCAAGAATGTAAACTCCTCTGAATCTCTGCTACTATTGGAATTACATCCAGGAACCAAACCTCTGCTTTTCCTGACCTCTGGCTACTGGAGACACTCTCAGATGACCTACCTTTAGCTTCTCATTGTCTTTTCCCAAAGGGACTGACACCCAGAAATAGCCCTCCAATACCAGAGTCTAATACCAACCATTTCCTAAATCATGTTCAAGCACCAGATGCCAAGAATTCCCTTCCTGAGGTTAAACCACTTCATTTCTCAGGAAAGAGTGAACAACAGCACCTTCACCACAGGCCAGTGCCTGCCCAGGTGCCACTGACCTCCAGCACTGGGGTTATGTCATCACCCAGCTGATGAGTCCCAGGTTCAAACTCACACTATAGAGTACAATTCCCAGACTCTACTCTGGAGCTGGGATTCCATAAGAAGTAGCCAATGTGATGGACGGGGAATCAGGAAGCTTCTTGGAGTGTTCTCAGGATCAACATCAGGGTCCCTCCCACCTGAGTGGGAGAAGAAGCAGCAGCTGAGCTGCCCCCACAGAAGCCAGAGGAACCCAGAGCTGCTTTCAGGGGAGGAGAGGGGCGGGGCCTTCCACTCCCTGCTCAGGCAGGCTCTGATGCTGGTGCCTTCTAGAGGGAGGAGGGGGCAGGCAGTGCAGCTCCACTGAGGGGGAGCCCCAGAGCAGCACTCAGCTGAGAACCACAGCCCCCCCACCCCCGGTAGTGCAGCAGTGTCCACTCCTTCCTGTGGACCTGGCAGCATTTCTTTATTTACATAAAAATTTTCCATCGTTGTTACCATTATTTTAAGAGTAAAAGTGGCCATGGTGACAAAGAAAAGTCTCCCCAGGTCTGGTTGCCAGGATTTGGTTTTGTGTGTCCAACAGAAGGACTTCAGGTGACACAGCACTGGAGAGGTGGTCTTCTATTTGGATATTTTGGTCACTCCCACATATGAGAAACATTTTCTTGACTCACAAAAGTGTTTTTGAGCCCGCAATTTTACTAATTCATCCTGCACCTCCTTATCAGTCTCCCCAAGGTCCTGAGTCACAGGGTCATTCACCTACCCATGGTACTGAGCAGGCAGCCTTGCCCTCCTCTGTCACCATGAAATGGCCCACCCTCCATGTGCATGCCCCATTGAAAACTGGTTCCTTGGCATGAAGACACTGGTCATTGTTTTGGTCCAGAGAACATGATCTTAGGTATCAGTGTATAGGACTCCAGGGAGGAGCTTCTCTGGGTTTGGATTCCTCTAAGCCATGGCTCTCCCTAAGTTCCCCAGGCCTCAGTCTCCATAACAGGAGGAGATGGTGATCGCTCTCCATGAGATGGTGAGGATCAAGTAGGAATCTCCATGGCAGGTGGGCAGTGTGCATAGAGCTCATGTTTTCACCTTCCCTCAAGGAGGACACTCTGGGACCTGAGGCTGGGTGAATGGGAATAAGGAGCCTCTTGACCAGGCTTCTGCCTCAGGCTTGACCAGGGCAGCCAGGACAGGGTGTGTGTGCTCAAGCTTCACAATTTTGTTGGGCCCAGGTAATCTGACCTAGGGCAAGTGCAGGCTTCTGGGAGTAGACATATAGGAGTCCTTCTAATGTCTCCCCTTGTCCCTTGGTTTTCAGGAGCAGTGATGTCTACACTTGCTTCTTCATACCTCATAGGCCTGTTCCTTGGCCCCAAGATCCTTCTAGGAATCAGTGTCTCTGCCGTGTATGTCCACAGGAAGCAGAAGTCCTGACTGTAAGTCCCCAGGAGGGAGGGTGGAGCACAGGTTGCTGAAGAGGGGGCAGGGCCAGGGGGAGTGCAGCCCACCTGTGCACAGCTGCAGAGTCAGTGGGGCTAGAGTACCATGCACACACTCCTCAGCACCTTCAGGATCTCAGGCAACTTCTGTGGGGTTCCCAGCTCCCAGGAAATGTGTGAGGTGTGCAGGAGATGAGGAGGTCAAGAGTTGGCAATGGGTGTCCACTGATTCCTAATGGCTCCAGAGATGATGGGCCAAAATGGTGCAATGAGAGTCAGCAGATTTGGTGTCACCCTGGGAGACCACCCCTAGATTAGTCCAATAGTCAACTGCTGGGCCTCCATGGACAGGAATGTTCTACCATATGGAGCAATGTTGATAAGTTCTAGATGGGTTGCTCTCAGGTCCACTCTCTTGACTTTCATTGTAGGAAAAGGGAAGGTGAGTTAGAAAACAGGAGAGGCTGAGCTAAGAGTCCTGCCTTGGGGCTGGTTTACTCAAGACCGATGTCCCTGACAGTCACCTGAGGACATCATTGATCTCAGGAAACTCTCATGAATGGTGAGCAGATAATTGAATGTGGACATGTTTCCCACAGATCCTTCTTCATTTGTGCTGCCTGGGACTCTCAGTTTCTGCCACCTTCTTACTGCACTGTGATGCTCAGCCTGAGAGAAGGAGCTGTGGAGATGCGTCTGTAGATGCTGTTCCAAATGCCTCCTCCCAGGACACCCACCAGCCCACAGGCCCCTGATGCTCCTCTGCCCAGCCCTTTATGCCCAATGGCTGAGTATGCACTCAAGGTCTTGAGCAGGGCCCTGGGACCTGCCTCTGGGCTGCAACTCATGACCCCTCCCCAGAATGGGACTAGCAAGTCCCATCGAAACACGTCAGGATGACCCTCCTCATTGCCTTGGGCTTGGCCATCAAAACTCAAAGTCCTCACTCTCAAGAGTCATTCTTTTTTTTTTTTTTTTTTTGCCTGCCAAGCCCTCCTTCCCAGCCTTGTTGAGCTCCTCAAAAGAAACTCATTTTTGGTTTAATAAGAAAAAATATTCTCAGTCCTCTTTACCTAAGTGTCCTATGCCTCATAATCAGAAAAAAAGTAAAAAAACAGGTTCTCCTTCACCTGAGTGATTTTGTACCTTAGCACTTATGAACATCATCATTGTCCAGGATAAAGGCCGTCATTGCTCTCCATGAATAGCAGGATTGTAAAAGTCACCTTCCAAACTGAAAGTCTGGGAAGCCATCTCCATATCGACCATGAAAAATAATGATCTTGAAAAGCCTCCCTCAGAGGCCAAGGGTCAGAGGCTGCCTAACAACCTCACCCAGAGCTTCAGCCCCAATCCCATTTCAAGCTCCAGGCTCCCTGGTGGGCCCCTCCCTGCTTCCAGGGCCTGGCCCTTGGGGGTAGCAGCCCACAGCCAAGAGGAGCAGGTCCATGGCCCAGCTAACTCTTATCTGAAGACTAGAAATAGAGCAGTCTCAAAAATGGAAAGGCAGAAGAGGAGGAAGATGGTGGGTCAGAGGGAGGCAGCACTCTGTGTTGCTCTGTGATCCAGATCTCACCTAGTCTGAATACCGCATCTCTAGAGTGTTAGAAGACCCCTAAGCAGCTGCTCACCAGCACTGTGACCCCTGCACAGGGCTCCAGGCCTCAGCATTCAAGCAGGACTCCTGGCTCCCCACACCCAAAATCTGAAGTTCTAGCCAAAACAGGGCTTGAGCGACTTAGCAGAATCACCCATCAACACGTCTGCAGATCTCCAAGACTTTGCTCCACTCCCACACAGGTCACTCAGGTGCTACCTACCCTCAGCACAAGCTCTTGCCCGGCTTGCCCCAATCCACCAGACATCCCTGTTCTGGAAACAGACTGCCTCCATCTTGGCTCAACATTCTCACCATAATAGGTGGGGGAGGCTCCCAGTGGCCAGGTACCAGGATTCCAACTTCCCCCCTCCCCAGTTGTGGTAACCCAACAAAATAGCTGCCCAACACAGGTGCACAGTGCAACCAGGGTGCCGCCCATGGGAGCTCCAGTGTGAGAGGTTCCTAGATTGGGAACTGCTAAGGGAGAGAGAGACAGGGCTAAAGTTTGGAGCCTAACAGAGACCAGGAACTGGGAAATCTCCAGGAAAGAGAGGGATACAGTACCAGGTGCTGAAGTCGTCTGAGTGGTCCCAAAAAGAGACCCATGAGGTGCAGTCTCCATGCAGGGACTGGTGGTTGCCACTCCCTGCTTCCAGTCACCCTGCACTAGGACCAGCCTTCGCACCCTGGTTACATCCACCACCCTGAAGTCAGAGACACCAGCTTACAACAGACAACCTCACCTATTGGATGACAAGAGAAGCAGGAAAGATCTCCAAAACTAGTGACAATCCTGGTTTCTTCTTTCAAGTATTTTTTTTCCTCTTTTTCTTCTACCCTCTATCCTCTCACCCTCACATCCTCAACATATGTGAAACCAAGAACTTTCCATGAAATAGAATTTTGAGAACTTGGTCATCTGAATAATATAATATAGAAGTGTTGTATATGCTCCCTTTCCCTCCTCCTCCTCCTCCTCCTCCTCCTCCTTCTTGATTTTTATTTCCCCTGCTGAATTTTACTATTTTAACATCCTGTATTTTTCTAAATAAATATGTGTGTTTTATGTACTCTACTGTCATCTCATGTACTTTTCTTCCTGCATATTCTATTGCTACTAACCCTCTTCATTAGATTTCTCTTTCAAACTTTCTAAGTTATATTAACTCTATATCCTCACAAACTACCTCCTCAGCATATCGTCATTGTCTTACATCAGAAACTGTAAACCCTTCTACAAAACTACTGAATGTATTATATATAATAATTGAATCTGACATTTCTGTACATTGAGACCAAACTGTAAACATCTTAATAACAACAAATTGTTTATAGGTGGTATGTTGTTGATATTGGGATCTGTTAACATTGTCCTTCCCCACAAAGGAGAGGTCTTGGAACCCTACAAGAGCACTACAAACCTATAACGTAAAAACAATAACACTCTGGACCCACAGAGCTGGAAGGGAAGATACACAAGCAACATGAAAAGACAAGGGAAGAAATCAAGACACCACACTATTAGAACCATTGGCAGACACAGCAGAAGAAAAGACAGAGAAGGAGTTTAGGATGGACATGGTTAAAAATGTTTGTGAACTCAGGGAACATATAAGAGAGCAAATATAGGCAGTGAAAGATCACTTTGACAAGGAGCTACATAAATAAATAAAAGGAAGCAAAAAATCACAGGGAAACAGAAGTTCTAAAAAAATAGGGGAAAAAAACAGGGAAATAGAAGTTCTAAAAAAAATCAGAAATCCTTAAAATGAAGGAAAAATAAACCAAATTAAAAGCTCAAATTAAAGTATCACTAACAGAATAGATCACTTGGAAGATAGAACATTACACAATGAAGACAAATTATATAATCTTGAAAAGAAAATAGATCACACAGTGATAAAGGTAAGAAACAATGAACAGAACATTCAAGAAATATGAGCTAACATAAAAAGACCAAATTAAAGATTTATGCAGATAGATAAAGGCATGGAGTTCCAAACCAAAGGAATGAATCACTTATTCAATAAAATAATATCAGAAAACTTTTCAAACATAAAGAATGAATTGAAAATCCAAATTCAAGAAGCCTACAGGACACCAAATGCACATAATCACAACAGATCCACAACAAGTCATGTTATAATAAAAATACCCAACATACAGAATAAGATAGAATTTTAAAAGCTATGAGAGAAAGGAATCAGATTACATATAGGGAAAAACAAATTAGGATAATGGCAGATTTTTCAACACAGACCATGAAAGCTAGAAAATCTTGGAAGAACATATAACAAGCTCTGAAAGAAAATGGATGCCAACCAAGAATCTTGTATCCAGCAAAATTAAGCTTTAGATTTTTTTATTGGTTGTTCAAAACATTACAAAGCTCTTGACATATCATATTTCATACATTAGATTCAAGTGGGTTATGAACTCCCATTTTTACCCCAAATACAGATTGCAGAATCACATCGGTTACACATCCACATTTTTAAGCTTTAGATTTGATGATGAAATAAAAACCTTCCACAATAAACAAAAGTTAAAAAAAAATATAGCTAGGGCTGGGGATGTGGCTCAAGCGGTAGTGCGCTCGCCTGGCATGCGTGCGGCACGGGTTCGATCCTCAGCGCCACATACCAACAAAGATGTTGTGTCCGCCGAGAACTAAAAAATAAATATTAAAAAATTCTCTCTCTCTCTCTCTCTCTCTCTCTCTCTCTCTCTCTCTCCTCTCTCACTCTCTCTTTAAAAAAAATTATAGCTAGAAACTGGTACTACAAACATCCTTGGCAAAATATTCCATGAAGACAAAATGGAAAACAACAATGAAAATCAGCAGAGGGAGGTAGTACTCTAAAGGAAAATATAAACAAAGAAAAAAATCAAGTCAAGTTAAATAACAAAAATATACAAATATGGCTGGGAATACAAATCATGTTTCCATAATAACCCTGAAATTTAACAGATTGAACTCACCTATCAAAAGACTTAGATTAGCAGAGTGGATTTTTTAAAAAAGACCCAACAATATGCTGCCTCCAGGAAACTCATGTGATAGGAAAAGACAAACACAGACTAAAGATAAAAGGTTGGGAAAAATCATACCACTCACATGGACTGCAGAAGAAGCAGGGGTTTCTATCCTCATATCACATAAAGGAGACATCAAGCCAAAATTAATCAAAAGGGATAAAGAAGGACACTACATACTGCTCAAGGTAACCATACACCAATAAGACGTAACAATCATAAATACATATGCCCCAAATAATGAAGCAGCTACGGTCATCAAACAAATTCTTCTCAACTTCAAAAGTCAAATTGACCACAACACAATAATCTTGGATGACTTTAACACACCTGTCTCACCACTGGATAGATCTTCCAAA